TAAAAAACTAAATGATGCCTATGACTTCCAATATTTGATTAAGCAAAGCAATGCATGTTTTGAGTCATGTGATAGTGACATTAACCACCAACAGCCCCAGAGTGACTTCTGAGGAGTGAAATTCACCTCGCCACGGGGAGGAAGGTTTTCACTGGACTCTTACAATCCGCGTGCGTTCACTCATCAAGTCCGAGTGGCTCCTTGGTATGTACGAGGCAGTGTTCCAGAGGCTGAGAGTATTTTTCTTAGGGCTTGAAAGATTTTGTCTTCTGAGCAAATAATCTTCAACTAGTCTTTAAATGAAATAAAAATTTGCCAGAGAGCGGAACAGGAGGAAAGGTAAAATAATTTGGTCATTTATTCTCTGATCACTTGTTGTTGTTGTTTTAATACATATTTTTATTTATTTCAGAGAGGGAGAGGGAGAAAGAGAGAAACATCAGGGATGAGAGAGAATCAATGATTGGATGCCTCCTGCAAGCCCCACACTGGGGATCGAGCCTGCAAACCCTACCAGGAATCGAACGGTGACCTCCTGGTTCATAGTTTGAAGCTCAACCACTGAGCCACACAGGCCGGGCTCTGCTTACTTGTTTTTGCTTCTCCTTGCTTTAGGAAGCCAGGTCATAATTCCCTGCCACCTGGTACCCAAACCTATCTCCCAGGGCATTCTTCCTGGAAAATGGCATGTATCCCCCATGCCACTTTGGCTGAATGGCTCTGCCTTCCTCTCTGAGCGAGCAGGCGAGCCTTCCTGGGTGGGACATAGAATACACTTCTATTCTTAGCATTATTAATTCTAATTCAGGAGGGCACAAAGAAAACGCCACTTCCCTCTCGCCTTAGGATGTGCAGGCGGGGGAGACGAGAACTAAATAACGAACAGGCCCCAGACAAAGCCGTGGATGTGGGGCACTGTGCTTTCTTTCTGCTTCTCAGTGCTGCCGAGCCCCCCACAATGAGCTCTGTACTTTCATTCTTTGGGAAATGGATTCCTGTAAGCTTTGAGCACAGTAAGAATTGCCCAATCTTATGAAATATTCCTTTTCCCCCCTCCAGCCCTTCTGGTAACGCAGACCAGATTTCTAGACATCCTACTGGCAGCCGACCTTTCCTTGTGAACTCCGGTCAGTGGCCAAGGGAGAGCAGCATCAATGCTCTCAAACCTCCTTTCTATGCCTGCAAGCAAGAATCTGACAACATTTCTCCTTGATATGAAATCTCTGCTTGGACATCTGGCTTCACAGTGAGGAACTTTCAATACACTAGCTTCAAAGAAAGGGCTCGGCCTGGCGGGGCGGCGGGGCAGGAGGACAGTCGGCAGTCTGTCGTAGAGCTGCTTCTAACAGCTTCCCCAGCGAACTCTGGGAGCAGAGAGGACGGTGCTAACTAACATTTAGATGACTTGGCTTCAGTAGACAGACTTTTGGAGGCCTTCCCGGAGCATACAAACCATGCCCCTCAGATAACACATATGAGCTGTAGGGTGTTCTATTAGATGCTGCCTGATCAGGCAAAATATATGACTGTGGCCACAAGACCTGAGTAATTTTCGCCTAGCTGTGACAGCATCACCAATTGTTTACAAGCTGGTTGCCATTGATGAAATAACATGAGAACCAAGTGGCATTGTTAGTTTTCAGAGCCCTGGTTTGTGAGGGGACATCATTCATTAATTCAGCATATTTCCAGCACTCCCATTGAGCCAAATGTTGTGCGAAGGGCTTGCTCTCAAGAAGCATCGAGTCTAGTTGGTGAGAAAGAGAATTCATAAAAACACAGTTCACAACCTCCCATCTGCAGTCCTCGATCCAAAATCCTCCAAAAACTACAAATAAGTTTTGAAAGGTTGCAGTTAACTTGTGAGAACACAAAACTTGACTGATGTTGCCAGGGTGTCCGTGGTCTCTATGTGTCCCATTTATTGAGGATAATCTGCGTTTCCCAGTGCTTGTGTGTTTGATACTGTGTGTTGTCCCAGACTCCACTGGGGACAAAGTACAAGCACCGTGTCACCTTCCTATACTCTGACTTCACAGAACACACGCAGCCTCAGGGTCTGAGATGAGGGACTGTGGAGGTGTGTGGTGAACACTTTACTGCAGGAATTGACAAAGCTGGTGTGAGCCTCTCCCTCGGACGCGTCACAGAGAAGACCACATTTAATCTTCAAGGGAAAGGACTTCCTCAGAGTTCCTGGGACCAGAGAGCAGTGAGGGCGAGGACTGGCAGCGATGAGGTGAGGGAGGGGAGAATTCGCTCAAGGGGATTTGCGGAATCGGACTGGAGTGGCCGGGTGGATGCTGGCGGTACTCTAGTTCAGATAATCAATACAAGAGGAAGAACAGGCTGGGGGAAGGGAAGAGCGGGGGGAAGGTAACTCTGTTTGTGATCTGCCTCGTTTGAGCAGCCTCTGGACCATCCAAGTGAAAATGTGCAGCAGTGGTTAGAACTGGACTGAGAGCTCAGAAAGGCGTCTGGGTGGAGGTGACAATTCAAAAGTCATTTGCATGAATGCTTACTTGAGGGGATGAGACATTGTAGGGATAGTGCATACACAGCAAGAAGAGGCCTTGAGTAATACCACCATTTAAGTGCTAAGAGGAGGAAGAGCAGACAGGGCCTGGGAATGGGAGGAGGCTTGGGAGTGGCAGCTGAGCTGGGAGGTGTTGCCGTGGAGTTGAGGGGTGTCAGAGGCTGTTTCCAGGGCAGATGGGATCACTGCTCCTAGGCATTCCTGGGCTTCATTGGAATGAGCCCAATCTAAAGGTGGGGTCAAACCCAGCCAGCCACAGCCCACAGCCGAGCCACACCAGAGATCTGCAGACACCTTGCAAGAAAAAGTAGTGTCCTTTCTTATAAGTCGCTGAGTTTGGGGGATTGTTTCTTATGGAGCATTACTGTGACGATAGCTGACTAACACAGGTTCCTTGTTAAATGTTATAAGGGAGTCAAAGAGGCTTCTGAGAGTAGATAGTAGATTGAACTTCTCTCTCCCAACACCAAAGGACGTGAATAAATAACAATAAAAACTAGCAGAAATGCACCAACAGCATAGAAATAGGGTAGAGCAAGGTAGACATCATACAAAACCTCTCAACCACCTGCAGTCAAGGAAAGATACAGGATTCTGGAGCACACCAGAGAGGCGCACAGTGACAACTTCAAACTCTGCCAATGTCCCTGAATCCTTATTTTATAACGACTTCACAAAATTCCAACAACTGGTGCTTGGGACAATGCTCCAACCAACTGAGCTACCTGGCCAGGGCGTTTTCCCTTTTTGCTTATATTGGAATTCAATTTTTTATTGAAATTTGGAAATTACCTACCAGTTGGTATTTGGACATCACTGGAAAAGAAATTCCCATAAAATGAAAGTTGAAACGAAGTGTTCAACTCAGTTGTACAGGTCAATGAGGACTTGCTGTGCATTTATAAATGAGAAGAGTGCCCAAGATTTCTTTCAATTAGTGGAATATGAAAAGGAAACATCTCTTCTGTCTTATATCACACGTAGGGGAAAAGAAAAAGCTCAAAGATAGAACTATATAGGGAAAAATATCATTAATAATAAAATAAAGTAAGTCCTTTCTTCTAAAGTGAGGAGGCTGGATGTAATAGCTTCCAAGGTTTTGTTCATACCTTAAAGCTTTTTTACTCTATTCAGGGTTGCCCAGGCTTAAAAAGTATCCTATATAATAAAAGCCTGATATGCAAATCTACCGAACAGTGGAATGATGGGTCGCTGTGACGCACACTGACCACCAGGGGGCAGACACTCATGCAGGAACTGCTCCCCTGGTGATCAGTGCTCTCCCACAGGGGGAGTGCCGCTCAGCCAGAAGCCGGGCTCATAGCTGGCGAGCGCAGCGGCAGTGGCAGGAGCCTCTCTTGCCTCCGCTGCAGGTGGGCGGTAAGGAGTGAGAGGTCCCAGACTGCAAGAGCCCAGACTGCGAGAGGGATGTCTGACTGCCGGCTTAGGCCCGATCCCCGCAGGCAGGGTCCCCCGAGGGCTCCCAGACTGCAAGAGGGCCCAGGCCAGGCTGAAGGCCCTCCCCCCCCCCACCCAGCGCACAAATCTCATGCACCGAGCCTCTAGTCTATATATAAGAAAGCAACTTACATTAACACTAACGTTTCCCTAAATTACTCAGATCGTCTACAATGGGCTATAGAAAGCAAGATGGGTGTTAGGCAGAAAAGGGCAGTGATAAAATCCAAATGTTTCTTTGCTTCGTATGATCACTCTACATGCTTCAAGCATTGCTCTAACAAAGTAAAGTCACCAAAAAATAATCCTTTGCTGAGAATTCTTAAAATATTTTTTTGTTCTCTTCTAAATCTTATTTATAAAGGTTTCCAGATGCTTATCCTCACAGATTAAATACGCATGAGGCGGACAAACACAGGAATACTCACTGCTCCGGAGCCAAGGAAATGCCACTTGGAGATGGGACTGCCCATCACCCCAGGAACCAGAGTGCAGGGGGGTCTGTTGCTATGAAAGGTGTGCCTTTCTGAAGCTGTTTGGAAACCACCTAGGTGCTCAGCATACACATCCGAGCATAGCAAATAGTTGGAATTCCAAACCTCAAACAGGTTATTTCTCATCACACAGATGCATAATGAAAGGATGTGGGCAGAGAATAGGATGCCAATTGGAAGCTGACTTCTGAATTTATTAGCCAGCAGTCCTGGGCTGAAAGAGTCATCTAATATCAAGAGAACGTTCCAAAGTGGTTCTCAAGAAAGAGCACCGGGTGGTTTTCGAATATGTGTTCCATGTGAATGGAGCGAGTTTGCCAAAAATGACTTTGTATGCTGGCATGTGACCTCTCAGAGGGAAGCGGCCTGAGTCACCGGACACATCAAAGGTGGAGGCCAGTGAGTGGGGTGACTGCAGGCTGTGTGGACAAGCCAGATACCTGCAAGCATCTGCCCCCTTTTAATTACATGGCAGCAGCTGGGACCACTGGTTACTGAAGTCTTCCGATTACCTTGATTGCTCGGTCATTATCTCTAATCAGCTGCTTCTTCTCATCTTCAAACTTCTGGGTAACATCCTGCAGCCGCCTTTCCGCAGCGAGCTGCTGCCGGCTGCTCTCTTCTTTCAGGGCGGAAATGGCTGTCTGGAGCTCGGAGATGGTCTAAAATGAAAACAGCATGCGATCACTCGCATTCTTCAGCGAGAGGCGTCTACTTCATATGCATTTATGCTCAACAAAAGAATGGGATTGGCAAGACTCTCCTCCACAAACTCAGTATTTCCAATTAACATATCACACACTATAACGCATGAAATTCCACCCAATAAAAGACTGTAATAAAAATGGTGAATGGTGAATAACAGCTGAACCAAATATATTTGGAAGACATTTCCACGATAACATTCCACAATATTTACTCATCAGCAGAAAGAACATCTGTGATCTCAAATATATGAAATGCGTCAGATCTCATTTTACTGAGAAATATACTTATTGGAAAGAAAAAAGCTATTGTGCCTTGCCTAATACTTTGAACTGTAATAACCAAAGAAAATAAGGAAGAGTTCATTCTCCATAGTTACCTAATTCCACACAGCAGTTTTTGAGTATTCACCAACGGCTGAGCACTGTGCTAAGCACTGTAAGTTCCTATGGAGGCATTATTATTGCCCATCACTAATACTGGAGAAACAGAGGCACAGAAAGAGGCCACAGATTTTACAACCAAGGAGACAGGCAGGACTTGAACCATGCACAGTCCGAGCAACTGCTGCACTAATTGGTTCCTCAAACCAGGCTACTTTGAACAGGTTTTGGGATTGAAGAGAAGTTTATGATGACACAGTTCCAAAAAGGTTGCTTTCTTCCTAAGTGCTAATATATTCATGAAAGTTGATTTTGGTCCAAATAGTGTCATTTCAGAGACTCCTGGAGTATTCTCTACACTTGAGAACTGGTTCTCTCTATGACTGGGTTCCCTCCCAGTTCTCAACGCAATCATCTGGCGAGGGAGCTTTGAATTTAATGGGCTGACTCTTCCTTTGGTTTAGATGTATCCACTTCCTTTCAAATTCAATAGTGATGACTTTCAAAAGCAGGAAATGGTGGTTTCTTCTAATAAAAGAAAGAACCCTCGTCCTGGGTTAGAGCAGAATTCTGTTGGTTCTAAGGGAGAAGGGCCAGTTGATGAAAAACACCGGAGAAGTTAGTGATCTTCCTTGGAACTCAGTTTTTCCAGCTATTATTAGATGACAACACCAGTTCACAGCATTAGAAGGCAATAAATAGAAAGTGTCTGGAGTCTCCCCAAAGCCAAGTCCTATGGAAATATTAGTTGTTACTACTGACAGAAATAATAGCACATTTACAATAAAATGTGGGGTACTTATGCTTTTAGAAGGGAGCTAAATTCACTGTAACAAAGCTTAACATTTAGAATTTGTAAAGAATCAAATACTAAGACAACTGTGAAAGAGATGATAGTAGCAGTACAGTCATATTTTTAAATGCAAACTTGACCCTTTTGCTGTGAGTTGGGGAATTCATTTACTGAGAAGGAAGATGTTTTCATCTGTTTCTTGAATTTTGATGAAATGTTTCCATTCTGGCATCAGTTCCATTAATTCTCATAGCACTTCTATGAAACAGGGAAGGTTAAGTTTTTACAGTAAATGTCAAAAACTGAGGCACAGAGTAATGAACTCACTCACAGTCACAGAGCCAGAGGAGCTGGAGATAACAAAGAGCCAGATTTCCTTGGCTCAACATGAAACTTGGGATTGGTATTTTATAAGAACATGGGGCCAAATAGCAAAAATAACTTACTCTCTCAATGACTATTGCAGTGTTTCAATTTGAGTAAACTACAACTTTGCAGAAGTGGAGAGTTTAATTCTGTAATGTGTTCATTGTGTGTTCGGTGTGTGTGTGTGTGTGTGTGTGTGTGTTGTGTGTGTGTGTGTGTGTGTGTGTGTGTATTAGTTCTGTGCAATTTTATCGTGTGTATAGATTCATATATCTATCATCACAATCACTCAATGCATTTTTAAAGTACAGAGTAATTTCATTTCTTTGAAAAAAGTAAGATTCAGATTAGCTTTATAATGGAAGATAAAAATATTTTGGGGTTCTTCAAATGACAAGAGTGTGAAAGAGGGATCTCTCATATTCAGAAGATTTATGACAAGAACACATCAGAAAGAAAGAAATGCAGGTTTTAGAAGGAACCACTAGCAAAGAATGCTTGCCTTTGTGTGGAAAATTAAACCTTACATTCTTTGAGGGAATAATGAGATTATTTTTGGGAAAATGAGACTTTTGGAAAGTTAATTTAAAAACTTATGAAGATGATATAGGGAGAGTGTCAAAACATTTCAGGTTGGACAGATAAACAGATAAATTGGTTGACAGACTGATAAACCTTGGACAGATAAACAGATAAATTGGTTGACAGACTGATAGATAAGATGGCTACAGAGATGTGACTAAAATATAGATAATTTTTAAAAACTGATTTGAGATTTATTTTAAGAAAGAAAATAATCATACTAACTAGATTAATAAGCTTTAGGTAAGGAACAAAATTCACCTGGTTGCAGACACAGAGTATAAGGGAATAGGCTATTTTCATCTTAGCTCAGTGCACATAACTGGCACCCAATAAATACTTAAGTAGTAGAATTATAATCAGAGTAAGTAAAAAAAATAATTACTTGAAATAGTATATTGAGATAAGCTAGCCTTTCATAGAAAAATTTCTGAGAAAAATGAAAACTAATCTATACAATCCCAATCAAACCCCACCAGTTTGGGTTGAGTCGTAATTAAAAACCATAGAACAAAATGCCGCCATTCAGCTAAATGTGTACCTGCATTCGCTTCCGAGAAGGAAGTGAATTAGAGTGTTAAAAAATAACATTTTGGAAACAAAAGGAGGGCTCTCTGAGGCTGATACTGTAAGCAACCTATTCCATGAAAGCTATCACAGTTAATAATGATTATTAAGCAATTAATACTTTGAATTAATGTTAGTGGTCTTATTAGGTCTTAAAAATAACAGGATTCTAAATAGAGGTTAATATTTTATCTTTAACTCACTTAACTGTTTTTCAGGTCATAGAGGAGTTGGAGATTTTTATAAAGCTCTTCTGTAAAATACAATAGACAAGACAAGGCATCCTCGGGGAGATCCTCCTAAACTAAGTGGGAGAGGGGCTCCTTCACACCTTTTGCATTCTGGGCCGTCACCCTGGGGAGTGACAGGAAGGCTGGGTGTGGGACACATGGCGCAGGCCCGGGCACTGATCTGCAGGGAATGTGGGAGCAAGTGTGGGCAGCCGGGAAGCCGGGCCCTGGCAGCGAGTGGGTGTTGGCATCCAGCTTTAGTTTTCTCACCACCACTTATACCCCTGCAGATGGCAACATCTTTCTTTGACCAAGTAAGTCAGTTGAGTGGGAACCAGCATAAGAATTGAAAGGGAGGCTAATATGTAATATTAAGATAAAAAGAATAAATACATGACTCCGATAGAATGATCCTGGAAGTGTGCCCAGCGATGAAAGGAACACCATCCTGGTGGGTGTTGAGAATCCCAAAGGGGCACAGTCCTGGATACGCCAAGGGTCTGGTGTACATGGTCTACTCTAGTAGGTCCTAAACGCTTGATAAAATCTTAAAGATTAAGTAACTTCCTTTAAGGGAGGAAAATGTTTAAAATATTTTCCAGTGTAACTGATGAGTTCCTGGTTACCAATTCATTACTAAGGCATTCATCTTATTACTTTTTTTTTTTTTGAGAGATTGTTAAAAATTTAATAAAGTTAAGCAACTTTGTTCCTGCACTCTCCTCAGCTTAGACATTGAATTAGAGAATCCAGTAAACAAACTGGAAAACAGAAAAAAGTCAATCCATGGTCCTGTTTTACAATGTTTATTTTTAAATCATCTGTTTCTCTGAACTGACTGATAGCAATGTTTCTCATATTTAGCGGTGGGCTAACAAATACTGGCAATGTGAGGCTGTCATCCCATCTGTTATGAGAAGGATGGACTATCTCTTATTGTTACTAGACCTTTTCGAAGGTTTTTTCTGACTTGGCGTTGCACTGGCCTTTCATTTATGAAATGATGGTCATAGGACATGGCAGTTGTTACTAGTTGGTTTTTCCTCTTCTTCCTCCTCCTTCTTCATGTCTTTCATTGGGAAAATATTCAGCACCCCTTTACCTCTCCAAATTCTGGAAGTAGATTTTTATCAATGTGCAACACCCCAAATAAACTAATTTTTTGCCCTTTCCATACCCTTTCCCTTCTTTGCTCCCTCTTTTCCTTTCTCATTGCAAGTTTCATACTATCATTGTAAGAGCTAAAAGTGATTAAATGCTTTGCTAGCTATAGGCTCTGCACTAAGCACTTTTGTGGTATTGTGTTACTTAATCCTCCGAGTAAGCATTACTCCCCCATTATACAAATGAGCAAACTGAATTCCAGAGAGGGCAGGTAACTCGCTCAAGGTCACGTAGGTGGTAGGGCTGGAATTCCAATTCAGGTCTGCCGCCCTGGGAAGCCCAGGTGATCTTCCACACTCACTTCCATTTAATTTGCTTTAATACCATCTAATCGGCCTTCTTCACACATTCCTCTAGATAAACTTCAACACCCCTGGTTACACTCCCATCATGGAAGCATTTTGTCAGCTATCTTCTATCTCACTTTCGGTCTGCCTCCCCCATTTAACACAAAGCACAAGCAGCAGGATGTGATGCATGCCAGCTGGGTGGTTTCCATTATTTCAGTTTAAACTTTAACTTTCAGAGTAATAAGATTTCTTTTGATTATAAGATTTTTTCTCAGTGGATTATAAAGGATATTCCCCATGTTTTTTCCTCAAGGAAGGTCTGGAATAAGGGCAGTCAAGACAATCATCATCTTTTTTTCAATCCTCACCCAAGAATATTTTTTCCATTGATTTTTAGAGAGAGTGGGAGGGGAGAATAGGGAGAGAGAAACATTGATGTGAGAGAGACACATTGATTGGTCGCCTCCCGCACTCATCCTGATGGGGCCCAGGGACACATTGATGTGAGAGAGACACATCGATTGGTCGCCTCCCGCACTCATCCTGATGGGGGCCCAGGGATTGAGCCTGCAGCCAAAGGTACAAGCCTTTGATGGGAATCAAACCCGCAACCCTTCAGTCCGCAGACCGACGCTCTAACCACTGAACCAAATTGGCTAGTGCAACCATCATCTTTTTAAATAAGCACATATGAGCCTTCACTTGAAGATTTTTGATTTCCTAATGGGATGTAAATAATGACATATGCACATTTTTGAAATAATTGTAGAATTTAAGAAATGTCATGATCACCACCACCACCAAAATTGTGTGATACAAAAATGTGAGGGAGTGGGTCGGGCTGGGGCAGTCAGACCCGGGCTGGATCCTGGCTCAGTCATTTGCTAATTATGTGACCTCACTTTCCTGAGCCTTAGTTTCCCCAAGTGGGAAACTAATAGTAATTCCTAGTCTCAGTGTTGTTATGAATGAAGACAGAATGAGTCAATACGGTTAGTGCCCCACAAAATTCTTGATATTAGTATCATTTTGTTGTCGTGTTGCTGTTACTACCAATTGTGTGGTGACTCATAAAATGGTACATGCATTTCAGTTTACTACCACGTTTCACTGTATACATTAAGAAAAGTTGAGTTACAAAGTCATTAGTTATGATGCCACAAAACTAAAATGAAAGTTAGTATTTATTTAGTTAGAATTATTCATACAACTAAGGAATGCTTGGGATTCCCTGGGTGCTGCTCTAGAATAGCCTTGTAACAACTCGTGCAGAGAGCACTGTAAGCATCATGTCAAGTAGAGAAGGCATCAATTATTGGCCTGTTCAGACTAAAACTACAAAAGTAACAACACACAGCAAGCTATGAGTGGAGGGACTTCTTCTTTTTCCCAAAGGAGCCAACAGTTGAGCTGGTAATTTAATGCAGACACTTGCCATTTTGAGTTCTGTTGTTAAGCTGTCTTTACTGCAGCAAAATGGAATATTGCAAAAAAGCACAGATGGTATCAAACTGCTTACATCACAGATGTAGGCGTGTGCCTCCCGCCCTCATGAAATATGCTTCGGCCTGGGCTTGCTCAAGTGCACGGGCTGGTTCTACCACATGTGAGTGTGTGTTCACATGGTTCAATTTAAAAAAGTTTTTTTAATAAAAAATATTAAAAGCATATATTACTTATCCATGTACCCATCAAAAACATGATGCTAATCTGTGAGGAACTGGAGAGAATGAAGTTTAATCCTAACATACAAAGGCTTTTATGCATATGTTCTTCTCGTTTTGCTTTTCTCTTCCAACGTTCTTACCTGCAAAGATTTGGCAAGCTTCTGGGTGTACTCCTTCTCAATCTGCTTCAGTCTGCAGTTGGCCTGAAAGACACACGGACGTGAACACACACACAGTGACCTGTGAGCTTGGTATCTTGCACATGCCTATCACCAGCAGCTGGGCCGGCTGCCAGCTGCACCGCCCTCTGGAGCAGCCAGAAAACCACAGGGCTTGTCTTTGATCCAGCGCCAACTATTCATCACTTAAAACGCAAAGAGCAAAAGAAAAAAAAAAGATTTCTCCTGCCAATGATTAGACAAACACAGACTTCTGTGGAGAGACAGAGAAAGGGAGAAGGAGAGACAGAAATAGACACAGAGCAAGTGTGAAGGCTCAGAGGTAAAGTGGGGAAGGGGAGAAGGAACAAAGGAGAAGGAGCAGGAAGAGGAAGGGGGAGGGAGTAGAGCAGGAGGAAATGTAACACTCTTTCCCTTCGTTTAAAGGGGAAAGAAATAGACGTTCCCAGACAGGCAGATAGGAGACTTCTAGATTCACTGAGCTGACTTGAGCCCCCACTCTGCCTAACACACAAGAACGATTTTTTGAAGTGACACATGTATCTAATCAAACCATGTCCACGTCCCGGAAGCGGGGTGTTGCCAGAATAAGCCCGCGGACAGTGCGATTGTGTCCTTTGCCACGCGAGGTCTGACTTTTTTGCATGTGACCTGCTTTCCGCTCTGTGGGCACCTTTGGGACCCTCCCTTTATCCTGAGTGTTTGGAAACGTCACAGTGACATGCCCTAGACTGGGCTTTCCCCTCCCTGTGCAGGCATGGAGTAGGCCCTTCCAACCTGCGCTGGGCCCTTCGTCTAAGGAGGTTCTGGCCACTATTCTCATAACTGGCTATGCTGTATGATAAAAAGAAATGAATCCAGGGTGACTTCAAGATAGTTGTCCCAAGCAACTAGAAGAATGGGGTGTCATCATTACCTTACATCAAAACCTTGGTGGAACAGGTTTTTGGAGGAAAATCCAGATAAGTTTCGGACACATGAAGCTTGGAGATGCCTATTGGACATGTAGCGTTGAAGTGAACATGTGGACATTCCAGTCTGGAGTTCAGGGGCGAGGTCTAGGCTAAAAGTATACACCAGCATATACATGGTGTATAGGACTCTGCTACCGGATGACATGTTAAGGCATCGAGGGTCTATAAAAATGGAAGTATAAGTATTCTGAGCCCTGGGCCTGCCAATGTCAAGAAAGCAAATAATGGCCAGAGAGATCAGAGGCCAGGACAGGATAGAATCCTGAAGCCACATAAAGAAAGTGTTTCAAGGCGTATTCCACTGTGTCCGATGCTACAGAGAGCTCGTGCACAGGGAGGGCTGGGAAATGACCACATGGCTTTTTGAGCATGTGGGGGACATTGGTGATTTGGATAGAAGCAATTTTGTGTAGTGGCAAGGAGGAACGCTAGATTAGAGGGAGCCCAAGAGAGAGGGGAGGAATTGGAGCAGATACAGACACTTTGTTCAGGGTTTTGTTACAAAGGGAAGGAGAGAAATGGGCTGGAAGCTGCAGGGGAAGTGGGCAAAGGCGGGGCTGACTTGTTTGTTTGTATTTTTGTGTGTGGAGAGAACTAACAGCATACAAGCTGACAGGGAAGATCTGCAGGAGAGAGGGGAAAATAGCTGATGCCAGGGACTCACTGGAGACATGTCCTTGAGGAAAGGGAAGGTCGTGGGATGGAGAGTGCAGGGGAGGAGAGGGCCTTTGCTGGGAAGCACAGGTACCACCCCTGCAGCAGTGGTGGGAACTCCTGATTAATTCCAGCTTCTCCACGAAGCAGAAGGAACGGTTCATCAGGTTAGCAGGAGGAGGGCAGAAGAGACTGTTGGGAGACTCAAGGTGTGAGGCGAGAACATGAATAGTCACCTGGGAAAGTGGGGAGGGACTGCAGAATGAGTCCATGGACCCGGGAAGCATTCTGGGCCACTTGAAATGACCAATGCTGAATTTAAAGTGAGACCAGATGGTGGTATATAAAAAGCCTAGACCAGTGGTTCTCAACCTTCCTAATGCCGCGACCCTTTAATACAGTTCCTCATGTTGTGGTGACCCCCAATTTCATTGTTACAAATTGAACATAATTAAAGCATAGTGATAAATCACAAAAACAATACGTAATTATATATGTGTTTTCCGATGGTCTTAGGCGACCCCTGTGAAAGGGTCGTTCGACCCCCAAAGGGGTCGCGACCCACAGGTTGAGAACCGCTGGCCTAGACCTAGTAACAGCGAAATAGAGCAGAATCAATACTCTAAAGCATAATGAGAAATTGTGTAATTTCTTGAATAATTGAAGAAATAAAATTTATTTATTAAGCTTCAAGGCTTTTACTATGTATGTGAACCTAAGTCACAGCTGCCTGAATTTCTGAACTTTTTAATTACATCTAAAAAGCTCTGGTTGAGCATGGTTGAAAAATTATAGCTAATTTATCATGCAAACTGTCCCCCTGACATTTTTGAATAATTTTACTCTCAGCATGGTATTGACTTACATTTAATGTCATACATAAATTAAGTTAGGGTTAGCTATTTGAATCCAAGTCTTATTTTCATAGCTATCATTACTATAGAAAAATACCTTTTTCCAATAGTCATCTACAACATGGTCTAAATAGGTATAGAATAACAGATGAGAAAAAAAAAATTTGAAGTGAGCAGAATTGTTTTGTTGTTGCTGTTGTTTCAACCTCACTGCTCCCGTGTGTGCTTGGCTACCCCTTCACCCTTCACAAGCACTCGGTTCCCCTCTGCTTCTCTAGGGCGTCTTCCTTGTCAAAGAGCCCAGTGTGTTGGTCCACTTTCTCTATGCAACTCCCATCAAAATCTCAGGTTTAAAGCCCTATTGGAAAAGAACCAATAAACCAACCAATTTTCACAAAGGTGTCAATGGCTGTTAATCATCTTTTTAAATTTTTTTATCTTTATTGTTGAAAGTATTATAGATATCCACTCCCCCTCCCCCCAAATCATCTTAATATAGCACCCTTTTCTGCAGCACACTTCACATTATGTCATAATTCAAAAAAGTCTTTCATTCCTTTATTTTCCATGTCCCATCACTAAAGGTGAAAATTCATGCATCCATGATTTCCAGGAAGGTGATTTGGAGGGAAGAAAATTAGGAGACTCCTCTTTTTAAGGCAAGTTCAGATCTCATAAAGATACATTTCTTTAAAATATAATAGTATAAGTTTTGGAATAAACAGGATTAAATAAAAGGATGCTTCCCAAATTCTTTAAACAGTACAAAGCTCAGATTATTATGCAGTATTTTCTACTAAAAGTTGTATAAGTACCCATTTGAAGCTTCTTCAAAGACTGAAAGAGTTATGGTGCCAGATATTACTACATAACTGTGTATTATCCTATGGTGCATAAATATTCAGATAATTCATAATGAATACTTAGATTTAATTTATTTTAATTTTTAAAATTTAGAATTTTTACAGAACTTTCCAACTTGAAAACCTCTACATATTACATCAAAATAAAGGCATAAATTTGTGAAGCATAAATAAAATTCATGATTTCCACTGGGACCATGGTGGGGTAGCTGGGACCATACTTCATCTGCTACAGTAAACAGCTAGAAAACTGGACAGAATATGGAGAAAACTGTTAGGGTGCTGGGAACAAGAAGCACAGGACTGTGACTGTGAAGGGAAGGGAAACAAAGGGGGTAAACCCGACAACCATCCCTTTCTTCCTGGAGGCACATGGGCCTGGACACCGCGAGGGAGTCGAGCACAGCACAGCAGTATTGTGAATCGAGGAAACAGAGATTAGAGTCTGGGAAGGCTGAGCAGCTGGAGTTTGCCGGGGCAGACCACTAGATGGGAGGAGGGTGCATGCAGAAGTCCTGATAGCTACATGGGTTCACCTGAGTCTGCTACTGATACTTAGCTGTGCATGTGTAAGGTTAAGTTCTGTAAGACCAAGTACAAAGTGACTGGTGAGCTTTAAGACAGACAGTTCCCAAAGCTCACACAGAGCTCAGAGATTTTCGATCTCTGATCGGTCAGAATGGAGAGTCCTCACAGAACATCCAGGAAGGTCACAGTTACGGGTTAAACTAGACTTGGAGTAAAGTCAACTTTAAATTTGCTCTAACAAAGTTTGAAACAAGCCTCAAATGGATCAAACTGATTATCTACAAGTAACTTAACAGCTTCTTTAAAAAAGTCCAATATTTTTTAAAAAGAAGTAAAGATAATGCAGCATTCAACTTAACTTTTATAATGTCCGGCATCCAATAAAAGATAACTAGACATGAGAAAAAGAAGGACTATGTGAGTTATAAGCAGGAGAGAAATCAGTCAATAGAGTTAAACCTAGAAATGACAGATAGTAAAATTAGTAGACAAAGACTTAAATAGCTATTACCACACCCAGCTCTTACCAGGTAGTTCAGTTAGTTAAAAGTGTCATCCTGATATGCGAAGGTTACACATTTGATCCCCAGTCAGGGCACATACAAGAATCAACCAATGAATGCATCAATAAGTGGAACAACAAATTGATGTCTCTGTCTCTTTCTCTCAAAATCAATTAATAAAAAAACACCCAAATATTTAAATAAAAACATGAACATAATAAGGAGAGGAACAGAGGATATTTTAAAAAAAACTAAAGAGCCTAGAACATAATAATATATCCTCTGAAAGGAAATTTTCACTTGATGGGTTGAACAACAAATTCAACCCTATAGAAGAAAAGATTAGTGAATATGAAGAAAAGGCATTTTAAATATCCAAAGTATTGCCAGAGAGACAAAAATCCTTAATGAATATAATAAATAATCTTAGTAATCTGCAAGACTATATCACATCATCTAACATATGTGTAATTGCAAACCAAAAGAAGAAAGGCTTGGAAAAATATGTGAAAAATATGTGAAGATACAATGGCCAAGATTTTTTTTTCAGTATGAAGAAAACTATAAACCTACAAGCAAAGAAGATCAACAGAGGAAAAGATAAACGCAAAGAAAACCACATCAAGATAATTCATACTCAAATTGCAA